GGGGGGCTCCGGCCTCGCGCATGCGTAGGGCTGTGGCTGCAGGCTGCTTCCAGTCACGGCGACTCCGGCGCCCGCTGCAGCTCGTCCCTGGAGCCGCCTCGGTCGCTTTTCTTGCTTAGTGCCTGCACCCAGACAGCCCTGGCCTCCGCGTCTGCTCGACTGCGCTCGTCCATAGGCCACCGTGAGTGTGTCTCTGACATTTGAGGTACAGTGGCCACCGCAGACTGGAGTACGGCCAGAGCGGCTTCCCCACGGTCAAACTTTGCCTTGACTGAGGCCACCTGGAGGCCTGCCCTGCGCTGCCAACGTGTCGCTGTGGTCAGCCACGGTGCAGTAGAGCTTGCAGCGTGGAAGCCTCCTTGCCCCTGACGGAGAGGGCAGCACCAGTGTGGTCTCTTCCTCTGGCGCTCCGACTGCCTTCGATGCCGCTCGATCGTGAGGTCTTGCTGTGCCCTCCCGTGCCCTGCGAGTCTGTTGAGCATGGCATTCCCCAGGCTGGGCATGCTGTTGCGGTGCAGGTTTTCCTGGTTCTCGGGCGGGATGCCCGCGCCGCTTACTCGCCGTTCCCCCTCCCTGGGTCCTTGGCCCGTTTTCCTCAGACTTGTGACTAGTGTCGCAGTCCAGATACTCATGCCGTGTCTTCGGCATGTACTCAGGCGTGAGGTTTCGTTTAGAATTTCTGAGGAGCCATCATACTGTTTTCCATAAGCTGCTGGTTTGCATTCCCACAGCGTGAAGTTCTCTTTCCTTCATCCTCATCAGCATGTTCCTTGTCTTTCCCACAGCCATCCTAGCAAGTTGCGGTTTTGGTGTGCGTTGCCCACATGGCTCCTGCTGCTGGCCGCCTGTCATACATCTGCTTCATCTGTGTCATCTTTTGAGGGCGTCCATCCAGCTCTCCTCTCCTGTTTTTAAATGGGGCTTTGCCAGCTCGCTGTTGAACCGTGTGCTCGCCCTATCTGTTTCGATGGCCACCCCGTTGCTCGCACCGTGTGAAAACGTTTCCTCCCGTTCTGTTGGGTGCTGTGCTCACCCTTTCGAGGGTTGCCTTTGCTGTGCAGAAACGTGGTTTGCTGTATTCCCGTTTGTCTGTTTTTGCTTTTGCTGCTCATGCTCCTGGTACACGTCTGAAAAACTGTTGCCCAGTCCAGGGTCAAGAAGCTTTTCCCTGTGTTTTCTTACAGGAGTTTCATCCCTGCAGATGTGACCTTTATTTCATGTCTGATGTGAGGCCAGGGTCCAGGTTCGTTCTTCTGATGTGGCGGTCCAGTTTCCCAGTGTGATTTGTGGAAGAGACTGTCATTTCCCCTAAGAGGTGTCTTGGCGCCCCTCTTGTCAAAGAGCAGCCGCAGCGGGCTCATGCATTCCTCCCTGGCCTCACTCTGCTTCATTGCGCTGTGTGGCTCTTTCAAGCCATTCGCCTACTGGTTGACTACTGTAGCTCTGTGGGAAGTTCCAGTTCGGAAGTGTGATTCCTCCCACTGTATTTTCCCTGCCCATCTGCTATAACAAAATGCCACAGACCGGCTAGCTTACACACAACAGGCAGTTGCTTCTCACAGTTGCAGAGGCTGACACTTGAGGTCAGAGTGCCAGAGCGGCCGAAGGACGGCTCCCCGCAGTCACAGATGCCCATTGTGTCCCCACACAGTGGAGGAAACCGGGGAGCTCCGGGAGGCCTTTCATAAGCTCACCATTCGCGAGGGCTCCTCCGTCACCCGTGAGGGGCTGACGCGGGTAAGCTTCCGTACCAGCAGCCGCTGAGAAGTGCGGGACCTGCCACCCACGTGCCCCACCTCAGCAGACCTCCCAGCTCTGTTTCGCTCTGCTAATACCACTTACAGTTTTCTATGCTTACCTCATTTTTGTTGAACTCACGGCTAGAGCATAAGCTCCTTGAGGTCAGACTGTACCCCTCACGGCCGCAGAAGGTATGTGGGAGAGACCCAGCAGTGGCCGACGAATTAAATGAGTTTATTGACACGTGGTCACTTCGGGAAGGAACGGTTTGCTTGGACTTGCCGTCGTTGTGCTATCCCTGCCTTTATTCTTTGATTTTAGGGGGAGGCTCGGAATTCCGGTTCGGGGATAACCCTGTGAGTCGTTCTGCTTACATAGCCGAGTTGGAGAAGATAGGCATAATAGTCAAAGCACGGAACTGTCTAGTTTTTCAAGTAAGTAGCTGTCACAGTTCATTGGCTCATGATCTGAGAATACAGCACTGTGCTTTATGTTTGTGCTTTACTCTTTTTAAAAGGGAACTGTAGAATCAATTTCAATGAAAAAACCCAAAGAAAGAACCCAATTTTTTGAGGAAATTAGCACTTCTGGCGAACTTATAGGAGAATATGAAGAAAAGAAAAAAAAATTACAAAAAGCTGAAGAAGACGCACAGTTTAACTTCAACAAGAAAAAAAATGTAGCGGCGGAGCGCAAACACGCAAAATTAGAGAAAGAAGAGGTAGGTGGCAGGGAGCTGTGACCAGTTCATTTGTTGGTGCCCTAGACGCTCTGTGTCAGGACTGCTAGGTAGTGGCTTGGGGTTACCAAAGAGACTTTTTTTTTTATTTATTTATTTTTTATTAAAAAGTTTATTTTTACATCATTTTTCACATTTTTTTTTTTCATCTCAATTGTAATCCCCATGGGTTTCCCATCACCAAATCACCCCTGTGCCACCACCATAGTCCCGTGCATTTCCCTCCCTTCCCCCCCCCGTTTTTGATCCCATTCCCCACTCCACCCCCACAGAATGTCTCTGGTCTATGGTTGTTCATTATTTTTGTTATTTTCTCGCAAGACTTTTTTTTTTTTTTAAGATTTTTTTAGTTATGCATGCAAAAACTGGGGTACAGGCCAGAAGTGCGTGGGCGGTGAGAGGATTCACGGGAGACAAAGTGTGGAGCAGAGCAGGTGGAGGGACTGAAATATACTGCTGAGGGGAGCAGTGGGTGAGACAGGAGAGGTCTGGTCACCTCCCTGGCCGGGATCAACTGGGGCTGTGGTGGCTGCGGACAGCTTCACAGTGCTGCGCGCTAACCATTGTGCCACCGGGGGGCCCGCCGAAAAGACTCAACATAAGACAGAGTTCAACATACATTGAAGATAGACTTACTGCTGTCCGTGACACTTGCTAGGGCTTTTCCCCAGGGAGGAAGGATAGTCAGAACCACAGAAATGTCGGTGAGCTCGAGACGCTCCACAGAAATGTCGGTGAGCTCGAGACGCTTCTATCGTACATGCAGAGGTTCCCGTTTTTGGAGCTTGTCCCCTTACAAACTCAAAAATGGTCAAGGGTCGCAGAAAGTTTTTGTTCATGTGGGTTATATCTACCAATATTTCTTGTTTCTGAAATTAAAACAAATTTAAAATATATTCTAATGATCAATGTAAAAATGATAATATGAATGTTTTACAGGCTCACATAAATAGCATTCTAAAATAGTGCATTTTCTAAAAAAAATGAGGAGGGTAGCATTCATTCATACGTCATTTGTACATGGGCACCTGGCTTAATAAGACACAGATTCTCTTGTGTCCTTCTGTAGCACATCTTAACTGTGCTAAGACCTAGAGGTGCGCTCACCACTGACCTTTGCACCACCTGTGCAGAGGTCACGACAATAGGGAGGACAAGTCTTGGTATTTTGACAAAATAGTCTCGACCGCAGAGATGCCCAGAGTGTTGGGAAGCCCTGGGAGGCCAAGGGCACACTTTACAGATGGTGCTCTGTGGCGTTTCTTGGTGTTTCTTCACCGTACGTGTACAGCCCCGGTGTGTGGTGGCTGCTGTTTGCCTTTCGGTGGTCTTTTCAAAAACAGGTCAGTCTTTATCTTGCCCTTTCGGCATAGAGCTTTTGCGATCTCCTCTACTTCTTAAATAGCCGCATATCTGATTTGTGCAAGATGGAGAGTCTTTCGGAGTTGTGTAAACATGCCATTGCTCAGGTAGACGTTTCCTGCCGTGCTTCAGTACAGTTTAGTGCCCTTCCCTGGGACGTGGCTGTGGTCCCTACAGTGGCATTCTCCGTTTCTTCATTTTGGCCTGTGGATATATAGCCTTGGGTTTTTGTCCCTGGAAAGAGATGGTATCTGGCAGCCAAAGAGATAGTCATCATATCCGGAAGCAGCTTACGGGCCTGTGGAGCTGCAGAGCTGTGGCCGACACAGACCCTCAGAAGTGGATTTCCTGGTTATTTACAGCATCCTCACAGAGGCTGGCTGCTCACGCTGTTACTGGGAGTACTTCGGGGATTCGCGGTCTCTCACTGGCCCCCTACGCCCGTGCCTTTACTGATCATGAAAACGCTCAGGAAATTTGTCCTTTCCACATAAAATTTAGAATCGTAATAATTGTTCTATAGGAAAATTAGATCCTATGCAGAAATCTGTCTGCAGTCATTGAACTTAGAGCGGCTAGGGACCTTGCGCAGTCCTGTAACTTCCTTCAGTTTGCCAAGAGGCAGCTGGTGTCAGAAATGTTAGTGGACTAGAGTTCCTGGCCAGGGCAGAAGTGGGACCAGAGTGCAGGCGAGCAGGCGCCGCGCCCGTGTCTTCCCAGCACGCGAGTGAGCGCCTGGAGACGCGTGTGCTCGTTCACGGGTTCGCGTTAGAAGCGCGTCCCGAAGCCGCCGTAAGCCGTCCTGGTTCGGGCAAGGACGTCACCGTTACGCAGGAGTCCATTGCTGGGGTGGCGGTTGAGGTTAGGAACGGCCAGCCTGAAGATACCCCTTGTAACTACTGTCGATTTGTGTTTTACAGGCAGAACGTTATCAGAGTCTCCTTGAAGAGTTAAAGATAAACAAGATACAACTGCAACTTTTCCAACTGTATCACAATGAGAAAAAGATCCATTTTCTGAACACGGAGCTAGAGCGTGTGAACAAGGATCTGAGTGCCACAAGAGAGTCGCTGTCACATCACGAAAACGTAGTTAAAGCCAAGAAAAAGGAACGTGGGATGCTAACTAGACAGCTACAGCAAACAGAAAAAGAATTAAAGTGAGTGTTTAAAAATTGGCATAGATAGCTGGGTTTATGCAGATTGATAGGGGAAATAAAAAGTAAATGACGCTTTGAGAGTTGTTTTGGGAAGTAAACTTTTATCTTGGAAGAGTTTTAGCTCTATAGAAAACACTGCACCGAGAGCAGAGTTCGCTTACCCCATGCTCAGTTTCTTCTGTTAACACTTCATTTGCGTGAACCGTTTTTCCGAAGGAATGAACTGAGATTGAACGTGTTGCTATTGGCGAAGTCTGTTCTCGGGCTCTTAGCTTCACTGAGCGCGTTTGTCCGAGTCAGAATACTCGCTTGACGTTTCTTCACTATCTGCTCGGGCCCTCGGGGCTGTGACAGTGGCTCAGACTGGTTTTGATGCCCGTGACGGCTTTGAGGCTTACCGGTCCGGTTTTTGGTAGACTGCCCCTCAGCCGGGGCTCGCCTGATGGTGCTGTAGCGAGGGCGGGGGCCGGGGGAGGCCTGCAAGGAAAGCGCCGCCTGCCCTGCCCCACAGGGCTGTCCGCACCCCGCCCCGGCCCTCCGGCCCTCTGCCTGAGAGCTTCACATCAGCTTGCCAGCCCTGCGGGGGCTGAGCTGCAGCCCTGACTTCTGCTTGGCAGGTCTCTCCAGTCTGAAGTTTTCCCTTTTCTGCCTTCGCATCCATTTTGGAAAGAAGAGCGTGTGCGTTGCCGCACGTGGGCCGCGCGGCGCAGAGCTCTGCCTGCCGGCCGAGTGTGCACACGCCTGACTGCGCGTGCGGGGGGGGGGGGGCTCCTCCTCGCTTGCTTGTTAGGACTGTCGGCGTTTCAGGTACTTATGTCAGCATGGGCTTAACAGACTTTTACTCGGGATTATCCAATACTGCATTTATTTCGTCTCATCTGTCCCAGCTGGGGCCTCTGAGAACGCTTACGTTGGTTCCCGTGTCGCTGTGACACATCCTTGTCACTGATTCTCCCCTGGTACTTCCTTACTCCCTGGCACTCGAAGGTGCTCCAGCTCAGAAGTCCCTTCTCTCTGGAGTCCTGGTTCTTTCAACAAGAAAGCAGAACCATATCTGGGTGTGAGCTGCACACCGGATCTTTGCTTCTGGGCCTTCTCAGCTGACAGAGCAGCAGCGAAACGTGGCTGGCACCGTCGGCCGTCCCTTGACTTAGTTACTCGTTTGCAGCGATGGAGCCAGCATCACAGTTGTGAGTCCCTCTGCTTGGCGGCCGCAACTCAGTCACCTGAAGCGGTGCTTCTGTGACATCCTTCAGCTCTTCATCGCACAGGCTGCTTTTCTCCAATGTTGCTAGGTTGGCATCTTTTCCTGCCACCCCCTTCAATAGGTTGTTTCCTAAATTTGTAATATGACTGGACTCTTGTCAGATTCTCTCTTCCATCCAGGCTCCCTCAGTCTCCTCGGTAATTTTTTGCATTCTCGGTGTCTTAGGGTTCATTCTTGGTTCTGTAAAGTTCTATAGGTTTTGATTAGTGCCTACGGCCATGTGCCCACCTTTACCGTGTCTTGCCATTCGTGATTTACCATTCTTGAAACTTCCCATGTTTCATCTGTTTATTTCTCCCCAAACCCTGTCCAGTGTCTGGAAACCACAGGCCCGGTTACATAGTCTCTGAAAGTCAGCTTTGGAAAGTGATTTTTAGCAGTGATTTGAACCAAAAGAAATTTCTTTATATATGATGAAATTTAATTGAAGGTAAGCTTTGCTTTCCTTTTTAGAGCTCTTGAAGCACTTTTAAATCAGAAGAGACCACAGTACATTAAAGCCAAAGAAAACACTTCTCACCACCTCAAGAAATTAGATGTGGCTAAGAAATCTATAAAGGATAGTGAAAACCAGTGCTCCAAGCAGGAAGATGACATTAAGGCCCTGGAGGCGGAGCTGGTTGATTTAGATGGTGCATGGAAAAGTTTTGAAAAGCAGATTGAGAAAGAAATCTTACATAAAGGGAGAGACATCGAACTGGAAGCCAGTCAGGTGAAAAAGCCAACACGTGGGAATCTCTTGTTTCTGTTGCAGCTTTCCCTTCAATACGGAAAGGTTTAAGGAGTGACCCCAATAGGCCTCCCTGGGGGTGCAAGGGGTTAAGTCGCAGCACTATGAGCTTACGGGCAGCCACCGAAGTGCGCCCTCAGTCCCCGCCCAGGGAGCTGACCACAGCGGGCCGCAGGCCTCTCCGGTCTCCCCGCTGCTCCCTCAGTTGATGGATCTGCCCGTTCTGCTCCCCACTCTGTCTCTGGGGAATCCTCTCGCTGCCCCTCCCCCCACACACACCTCTAGGCTCTACCCCAGTTCTTGTATGCATAAATAAATCTTTTTTTTAAAGAAAGTATGACCCCTAATATTTTAAAAGACCGTCTTCAATTTAACTTTGGGATTTCAGTGTTTAACTTATATACAGAATCTAAGTTTGATCTTCAGGCTGCTTTTCGTTTATCGGATTAGATGGCAGTATAGCATTTATCAGTTAAAACTTCAACAAAATGTCTTGGTACTATGTTTTTAAGGTACTCATTTTCTGATACATTTCATAAAAACTTAAAGGTCGTATATATGTGGCTTTTAAGAGACATGATCCTTTGATTGATAAGAGGGAAGTTGCTTATTTAAGGTGATTTATGGTGTTCAGTGATGGATGGACATCCAGTTTAGTTTGTAAGAATTAATTATAATAAATCAGCAGCAGATAACCAAAACTTACTGATGCAGAGTTTTCAGACATTCTTTCAGAGTTTCATCACTTACTGCCATCATTCTGTGAGATTCGTATAGCACAGAAACATGCTGAGGGCATCATGACTGTCTCGAAAAACTGCAGTTTCTGAACTGCTCTTCCTGTTGCTGAGCTTCGAAGCTCTTCCTCTCGGAGACCTCTTGGCCGAGATCCGACCATGGCATTGCTTTTGTTGATCTGACTGGGCCGTGTGAGCCATTTCAATGACACACTCATCTTGTGTTCATGTTGTCTCACCTGAGAAGACGGCCATTGCAGTCTGCTTCTGTAAGGTGCATTTACTTAGCTGCTAGTAAAGGAGATGAGGTAAGGCAGCTGCTTGTCAGGCCTCTCCGAGTGAGGCAGCAGTGTTCGAATGCTCTTTGTACAGCTGGATCACTATAAGGAACTTCAGGAGCGAGTAAGAAAGAAGGTGGCGCTCATGACCCAGCAGCTGGAGAAACTGCAGTGGGGGCAGAAGGCCGACGAGGAAAGACTGGCGTTCGAAGAGAGGCGGCATGGAGAAGTAAAGGTACCTTGTCTGTGCTTGGTTAGCTTGCCTTTGACAAGACTCTACTCCCTTTCTGCGTTCGCTTTTCAGTAGGTACACGAGTGTGCATAGCAGACGTGCGGGGAATGAAAAGGCCGGGTTACCTGGCACAAGATGCTCTTCCACAGCACGCTGTCCGCCTAGTGCCGGCGCTCGCTGGGCAGATGTAGGGGTGAAGCAAAACGCGGCTCAGTTAGCCAGCTGCAGCTGGCGAGCAGAGACAGACCTCGCTCCAGAGTGAACCTTCTTCACTTCGGCACTGCTTGCTCTCACTGAGAGGGAGGCTTTGCGGGTGAAAGCACAGCCGGCCAGGTGGAATGTGGGAGAGCTCGTGTTGTGAGAGGAAAAACGCAGTGAGTGCGCAGATGCTCCTGAGCCTGTGTAGTTTGTATCATGTGAGACTTCAGTGACTTCTAGACGCCCCCTGCCCTGGCTCTTGGAGCCGCCGGCCCAGAGGACCTACTGGTCTGTGCTTGGGAATTCCGTAGTTGGCCGCAGCGCGAGCCTTCCCTGGGGCCCCTCCCTACAGCCCTCAGAAAACTGACGAGACTCTTGGCTCACCTCATCACCCATTGTCCTTCATCTGTCCGAAGGACTCGGACCAGATGGAAGGCAAGCGCAGTTGGTTTAAAGCTCTGCGCACCGGAAGCTTGGGGGCGGGCTTCCCCGTGGCTCCCACCGGAAGCCCCACCCAGTGGGCATCAGTGCGTGTCAGCGAGCCGCTGTTTCTCTGGAAAGAGGAGCAGCACTAGGAGGAGGAGTGACCTGCGGGGGCAGAGAGATGAAGGGATCTGAGCACACTCTGTCCTCTGGACAGGAAGGGGGTCCCAAGACTGGCACTGCTGGGCAGCATTGGCTTCCCCTCTACTCTACAAGAGTAGAGTCTTGTCAAAGGGGCCACGTGACAGGCCCCTGGGCATCTGGCCAGCCGCCTTCACTCTGCCCAGCGAAGCGCCCGGCCCTGACAGCTCCCTGGGGGACAAGGAGAGCAAGGGGGAATCCTTCCTGCCGGACCTTGGCCTTCTGCATGTTCTCACGTAAAGGCTGTTCTCCAACTTAAGCCAGGTCTGGCTTGGGTCCGAGCCCTTCTCTAAGGTGGTTACCCCGTAGGGATCCAGCTGGCACACTCTGTGATGCCCAGGAAGGGACACACCACCCCTAGGGTCCAGAGGAAAGTCAGGGCCAGTGTTTCTGGTGGCTGGACTTCATGTCCCTCCTTCACTAATCTTGGTCCTTCCTCTTTGAATGGAATTCTTAGAGCGAAATGGGAAGAGTCCAGTATGGGAACCCTGGTGGGTAAATTGCTTCAAAACGGAAATTGCACCTTGCTCATTTTTATGACTGGCATCTAGATACTTGGCAGTGAATCTGCATGACAAATGCATGTAGTGGGGTAATTACTGTCCTCTTCCATTTGGAAACTGGTGGTCTCTTTCCTGCTGTTGCCTCTTAAAAATTTGTTTTATTTCTGTAAACTTCTCTGGTTTTAGATCGTTAGCAAAGGACTAAGATTGATTTCGCTGTCATGCAGAGTGAACCAGGGGGAAGGTTAAAGACATTCAACCAGTTGGAGTCTAGCGCAGGCTCAAATTTAGTGAATGGAGCGGTTTTCTGTGAGGTCCTCCGTCAGGCTTGTGGGTGCCTGAAGTGCTGGCATGGCTGGCCTGCCTGCCAGTAGCCGCTCCTCCCGGGACAGGGGCTCTGTTCTGCCCTTATCATGTCACCATCTCCTAGGGCTGGTTGCTGGGAATAAACCGAATTGATTAGTGTGAGAGACAGATGAGAACTGTATTACGCACTTGAAAATAGCCTCCAGGAGCTTGAAGTTGCCAGAGTAAAATTTTGTTAGATTATCAGCCAGGATTTGAACCCTGATCTCAATGTTCTCAAAGCTCTGTACCATACTGCTTTGCCAAATGCAATTACATAAGAATTTTCATATAGTTATGTTTGATATATTTCACATTTGAGTAGCTTTGATGACAGAAAATCCTGGCGTCATGAAAAATAATTTTATGTGTTTGGGGTTGCTCTAATTGATGTTACATTTCATCCCTATTTTAGGAAAATCTAAAACAAGTTAAAGAACAAATAGAAGATCATAATAAGCGAATAGAGAAGTTGGAGGAGTATACAAAAATATGCATGTAGGTATAGTAAAGAAACTAAGGCCTGCGGCTTTCCTCTATCTCAGAGATCTGGTGTATTTCCGACCTACTCATTAGGTGATTATGCCCGCTGTGCAGATACTGTCTCCCACTGATTTTCATTTCATTGAAGAAAGTTGAACGTTATACTTAGCCCTATCAAAAACCAAAACACTTGAACTTTGAAAGCATACTTAGCAGCAGTGAAACTTAAAACTATTTCGCCATTGATATCTAATAATGAAAAGTTATCAATTTCAACTTATATATCCTACCACTAAAAATTTCTTTTTAATTGATTCTTAGTTATTATTAAGCTCTAGTTAGAGGGATCTGTTCTCACTTTTTCAGTGTCCAGAAATGTGTAACTTTGAGCTAACGAAGAATGAGCATGTCTGGCCTAAGGGTTCTTTTATGTATTTTTCCCTATCTACAATTAAGAGTTCTCTGTTCCTCTGTAGTGCCTGAGTGTCCTTTGTATAATTCCTAAATTTTGAGTTTTCTTTTTGCTACACAATTGGTTGTCGTCACATGTAGGGATTGCTTGAAAGAGAAAAGACAGCAGGAGGAAACCCTAGTGGGCGAGATCGAAAAAACAAAGTCAAGGATGTCTGAAGTTAATGAAGAGCTGAATCTTCTTAAAAGTGAGCTGCAGACTGCTGGGATTGAGACTCACGAGGGCAAGCGTCAGCAGAAGAGAGCAGAGGTTCTGGAACACCTTAAAAGGCTCTATCCAGATTCCGTGGTAACTAGAGATGAACCTTTATTAGGAAAAGAATGACTAAGTTTTCTTACTTGGAATTTAAAATAGTGTCATTAGCAAGTAGAATTATAAAATGGATCTGTAAGTTCTGTAGTGATTATTGACTTTTACTTAAAATGTTACAGCAAGTAATTAAGGTAAAGTGTGGAGAACGTCCACCCATGTTTATAGATATGTCATTATTGGGGGAAAATATGAACACACACTACTTAGTCCAATTTATGGCCAATAACCCCAAAGGATACAGCTGCATGAAGTAGTCTGGACCCCCTTTTTTGTCCCCCCCCAACATACACACACACACACACACAGCCTCAACCCTTATGTTCTTCACGGTTTCAGTTTTTCCTGCACACATCATGGTTGTATTTTGGAAGCAATAAATTAGTCTGTAATCTGACGCTACGCTGGCATTGCGGGTATATTTCATCAGCCTGGTCGGGCCTGTCTAGCCTCTCAGAGCATCCACGTCACAGAACTGTTTCCTGTGGTGCTAAGGTCTGGCGTCTCACTCTTGGCACGAACACTTGTTAGTGCAGCTGGTGCTATTAACCACTTGACTGTTGAGACACTGCCTGGCGGTGTTTGTAAGGCCACAAGCGTGGGTTTTCCTCTCTGGCCACCCCATCTTGTCTCATGTCAGCATTATTTTTGACTTTCTGACTCTTAAATGTTAGTCTTGGTGTCTATATAACTACTGAGGAAAAGGCTGGGTCACAGTATCTTCCCCCTAGTATCTAACAAAATGACTAAAACTGATCTTTAAAACAGCTCAGGGCCCTCCCTGGTGGCACAGTGGCTTAAAAAGCACAACACTAAGAAGCTAAAGTCACTTCAGCATAAGTTTGATCCCCGCCCCGGGCGTGACCCCCAGGGCACGGCAGACCTCTCCTGACCCTTCACTGCCCCCTCAGCAGTGTGCTTCGTCCATCGACCTGTTTTGCTCCCCACTCTGTCTCTGGTGAATCCTCTCACTGCCCCTGCCCCTCTGGCCTGTACCCCAGTTCTGTATGTATAAATAAATAAATCTTTTTTTTAAAAAAAAAGGTAGCTCAGAAAGCAAACTAAAATGAGGCTCACATATCTAATGTCATAAACTTTAGAAAATGGTGATCATCTAGGACTTAAAAAGATACTAAAGAGGCCCTCCCTGGTGGCGCAGCGGGTTAAAGCACAGCACTGAGAATCTAAAGCCGCTTCCGCATGAGTTCAATTTCCGCCTGCCCCGGAGGTGACCACATGGCGTGGCAGACCTCTCCTGACCCGCCCGCTGCTCCCCTCAGCAGTGTACTTCGTCGATCTGCCTGTTCTGTTCCCCACTCTGTCTCTGGTGAAGCCTCTCACCGCCCCGAGCCTCTGGCCTGTACCCCAGTTCTGTATGCACAAATAAATAAATCTTTAAAAAAAAAAAAAAAGATACTAAAGAGAAAAGGTCGGGTATGACATTGCCTCTTTAACAGTACAGAAAACCACCTGATAAGTGGATACAACTTCCTGGGCATTTCTGCCTCGCATCCCTTAATCTAGCAGGAAGCAGTCTTCTCTGTCTTTCCTCTGGATTAAAGTGAATCAGCAAGCATGCACCCTGTGCTCTCAGGCGGAAGTGAAGACTCGAGTCCGCCTTCCTTGTCAGGTTGAGAGACCAGTGCAAGACCCTCTCCCCCAAGGTAGAGAGACTTGGGTTATTAATTAAACTTTGGTGTATTAATTTAAAACAGGAGAAAGAACAGAACGGTATTCAGACAGAGTACATGCTCAGCCTCAGCTCGGCACCTTTCCCCCGCTGAGCCTTCAGTGATATGAAAGTGGAAGGAGCCTATATGCAGCTGTAGGCACTTAGAATAAAAAGAATAATTAAAAGAAGTCGAAGTCAGCCTAGTCTAGAAGCTTCCAGAACAAAATCTGTTTTGTGCTGTTAGCAATTTAATAAGAATTTGGATTTATGTGACCAGATTCAAAGGTGAGATAATGCAATTGAGACAGATGAATATGTAAAGCTAAATAAGCAAATCAAGAATGAACATTGTTACTGAACTTGAGAATAGTCAGTGGGTTACAGTTGAAAAATCCAGTGACTGTCTAGAAGAAAGATGAGTCACAGGGGTGGAGAAAGAAGAAGCAAAGATAATAAACATCAGTGTTATATTATACCTACCATTTAATAAAATGGTATTCCTGAGTTAGAATCTAGCAAATGGGACAATCTAAAGACAGAGGTTGAATTTCCGGATGTTACCTGGAACACTGGCGCGAGGCATTTTCTAGTCAATTTTTTGAGCTTCAGTCTGGTTAACTCTCGCCTACTTCAGATCTAAATGCACTCCTTGGGCAGAGCCTTCCCAGTTTCCTCAGGTCAGCCTGGCCCCGTTGGACACTCTCAGCTCTGTGCGGTTTAGTTTCATCACAGGGTTTGTGATCACTCTCTCTGTAGCTGCGTGTGGTCACTTTGGTCTTCCCCACTCCCCGGAGGGCTCCGTGCGATCGGAGCTGGCCAGTGGTCGCCCAGTCTGGCTTAGTGCCTGTACATGGCAGGGGCGCCAGACTACTCAGCCGCGAGGCAGAGGGCGGCGTTGCTCAGTCACGTAGCTCAGGGCCCTGGTGGGGCGGCCCCTCTGCACCGCTCCTGATGCTTAGTGAAGCAGTGGCGCGGATGATGAGGTCGTCGTGAAGCGTACGTATCGTGGAGTAGGGCTCAAATTGGTCTACACTCATGAAACGGGGTTTTGGCTTGGGCTGCTTCATTGTATTCGGCAGTTACGAATCATGTTCCTCACGAAGCTGTTTTCCTCTCCCTTTTTGAAACCTGCCAAGTTTGGAAGACTGCTTGACCTGTGCCATCCTATCCATAAGAAATACCAGCTGGCTGTCACCAAACTCTTTGGCCGGTACATGGTTGCCATCGTTGTCACCTCTGAGAAGGTGGCCAAGGACTGTATTCGGTTCCTGAAGGAGGAGAGAGCCGAACCTGAGACATTCCTCGCTCTAGACTACCTGGATGTAAGACGTGTGGTGTCTGGTATCGAGTAGTGCGCGCGGCTTGGCCTCCGGGTGTCTTCCTCCCTGGTAACTGGCGGTGACTGCGAACGCCACGGCTGGGGTCAGCTACCGCTCATGCCACCGGCCGGTGCTGGTGCGCTGACAGGCGAGGCTGGCGGCGGCGCGCCCTGTCCTGTCGGGCTCTGCAGTGACTAACTGGTGACTTGACATGGCTCCAGTGGCGTCCTGCTCGCCTCCCACTGCCACGCGGCTGCAGACTCTGCCCTAAGACCTGGCTCATCTGATTATAAAGCCCTGGCCTGCTTGTTTTGTACTTAAGACTTTTTCAACGCATTTTTTTAAAAAATCTATCAAAGCTTATGAAATAAGAGAGTCTCGTACCTATTCTTGACGCCCAGGTGCTTAGTGGTGACTCTTCAGATCGCTGCTGTCATGCAGATGTATGTCAGTGTATGTTCCTGACTAGATACTTAGAGGTTCTGTTTATAGTGAGTAGTTCCGCTTTGTTTTCTTTCACAGAAAGGAAATAAGTCACCACTAGCTGTTTTTTCAGGGACTTTCTTGACCTATTCATAATTCCAACTTAAAAGTTGTGACGAAAAAGGTCTCAAGTCTTTTCCTGATTACTGATGCCTGAAATATTACTGACGCCTGAAATAGTTGCTTGAGTCCATCTGTGCCCACTTCTGCCTCATGCAGAGGGGAGATTTGAGGGCTTGGCGCATGGAGAACTGTTTATAGCTTGTTCCAACTAATGAGGAGCAAAGCTGAGTCTGGAATGGCATGTCTGGCTTCTGGTGAGGCAAGCGCCCGTTCAGGGAAGTACATGGCCCACGGCGGGTAGGCCCAGAGCCCGTTGGGTTCTCATCAGTGCACGCTGCTGCTGCCATGCTTCTGTCTGCCTTGGGGGGAGAATGTACTGATGGGTTTAATTTCAGTTACCTAACGTGTCACGTATTTTCTGGACCTTTCAGATCAAGCCAATCAATGAAAGACTGAGGGAGATTAAAGGTTGTAAAATGGTGATTGATGTCATAAAGACTCAGTTTCCTCAGCTGAAGAAAGTAATTCAGTTTGTGTGTGGAAACGGCCTTGTCTGTGAGACTGTGGAGGAAGCCAGGCACATCGCCTTCAGTGGGCCTGAGAGGCGGAAAGTAAGACTCTGCGCGCTGTCGGGGGCGTGACGGGTAACGCATGGGGGCCGTATCCTGTGTTCGTTTTTGTAAGGAAAAAGGAAAACCAGCATAGGCCACAGGCACTTAGAACTTCAGTAGTTTTTATAGTTTTCAAAAAATGAATTTCCACAGCATTTCCCAAATATACACACTAAATTCTATTTTAGGAATTAGCGTGCAAGAATAACCTAACGCAGTTATTTGCGTGGAATAAATGTCCTTGCTGAATCTCACTTGCCCTGGATTTACGTATTTTGTGCATGAATGCCAGGGAAGGGCCCATTCCCATAGAGACACTATCTTCTGCACAGCCCAGTCTTAGCACGGTGGAAGTCAGTGTCCCTCTCGGGGTCGTGGGCGGAGTTACTAAGGCTGCCTCCACGAGGCCGCTGGCCTGCCGTGTCAGTCTGCGAAGTGGAGGATTATGTGTCAGGTGAAGGAGCCGAAAGTTCTCGGTGTTTCCTTCTCAGTATCACATACATTTCCAGCCACTAGGCAACTTACTTGGGCCCTTTTAAATTGCTGTTAACTTATGCCTAGAATTGCTCTGGACCTTAAAAGAGGGTTTGGTATTTATGGTTTGTTCACTTACTGTGTCTCTAAAGCTAGGTATTTACTAGTAAAGTACAGTGATTTTGCACATGTACAAATTGTTACCTGTAAAAATTGGCATATTGTGTCTTTATAGTTATCTGCTTTAAGTACATTTCCCCATGGCAAAATATTTTTAATTTTACAGACGGTGTCTCTTGATGGAACATTATTTTTAAAATCTGGGGTGATCTCTGGAGGGTCAAGTGACTTAAAATACAAGGCTAGATGCTGGGATGAAAAAGAATTAAAGAAATTAAGAGACAGAAGGGTCCAGTTAATCCAGGAATTAAAGGTAAATCCATGTTATAAAAGTTACAGAATATTAAGTAAGATAATTGTGTTTTTAAGCGGCTTTGTTGGGTCCTTTGTTGTTGCTGTGGGTAATAAAAAGTATCACACATACTGTTGAAAATTTTCAAATAAAGCAGAATGGAATAAAGTAACAGATTACTTTCCCTCTATATCTCAGTGGTGTTTCTAACCACAGTTTGGTATATAGCCTGGGAAGTTTTCTCTGTATGGACCAGTATACATTCTATGTTTCCTACTTTTTTTGTAGTAGATTTTTGCTACAAATGTTTACAAGTTTTTTCATTTATTTTCACAACACACACCTGCTTTCATTTTAGGATATAGAGTCACTTTACGTTCAGTGAAGTCTGTCTGGCACTTTGTTGTACAGATTTTCTTTTTAACCTGCCTCCAGTAATGGATGTTTTGGGGGTTTGCTATTAAAATAGTAAGGTATTAAACATTCTTTAGAGGAAGAGAAACAGAGTCCCTGAGATTGTAAATCCCGTAACCACTCTACCTTGGTTTGAATCCTGGATCTGCCTCTCAATAGCAGTGTGGCCTTGCAAGTTGCTGGCCCCTTGTACCTCAGTTTCCTCATGTGCAAAATGGACCTAACATAAAGACCTTCCTTGCAGGATGACTTCAGGCATGCAGTCAGGTAGTCTAGATGAGAGGGCCTAAGCTAGCTCTTACGTGTGTTTCCTTCCTGGGCACATCTTCCTGCCAGGCTGTCTTTTTAGCACTACTTTCAGAATTGTTTGTGTAATGAGATGAATGAGTCCGTCAGATATGTTATAAATATATATATTTTGAGTTTGCTTTCTTATCAGCTCTATTGGGGAATAACTTACATACAGCAGTCTTCAATTGTAAGTATATGGCTTAATAAATTTTGACAAACACACAGCATGTCATCCCCCACGGTCTCCACGAAGAGCGTTCCCACGGCCCCAGGCTCCCTAGTGTCCTGCCGGTCCCCTCGGGGCACCTGCAGGACTGTCTATAACCAGCATTAGAATTTTTCCTCTTTCAGAATTTCATGCAAATGGAATCACGTAGTAATTCTGTGTCTTTTGTGTCATGCTTTCTTAATGCTTTTGAACTTCTAGTGGGTGTTATCAAAAATGTATTCCTTTCTTACTATCTTTTTGACGTGGAGTATGTGTGTGGCGTGTGTTTTTGATCTCTATGTAACCAGATAAATTAATCTTTTAGAATGTTTGGATTTTAATGTCATGCTCAAAAGACCCTTATTCTTTCTGAAGAACACAAATGAAATCCAGCACCACTTTCTTATGGTGCTTTTGTGTACGTAACATTTTTACTGGAATTTGTGTTGATGACTGGGCATCTGGCTTTTTTTTTTTTTTTTTAAAGATTTATTTATTCATACAGAACTGGGGTACAGACCAGAGATGCGGAGGGTGAGAGAATTCACCAGGGACAGAGCAGGGAGCGGAACAGGCAGATCGACTGAGGGGAGCAGCGGGCGGGTCAGGAGAGGTCTGCCGCGCCATGGGGTCACCTCCGGGGCAGGCGAGGATCGAACTCACGCGGAAGTGGCTTTAGCTTCTTAGTGCTGCACTTTAACCCCCTGCACCACCAGGGAGGGCCGCATCCGGCTTTATTTTACCAGCTGTTTTGCCATTTATCAAATATCATTTGTTGACTATTGTAATTCCTTACTGAAAATGTTGATTTATTTGAAATGTCAACTTCGACATATACTAAAATAGTAGAATACTTTTATTTTTTTCCCCTGTTTCAAAACAACCAGTTTTTGATACAGAGAGGTATTCTGGCCGGATTACTCAACTGATGGACATGAAACAGCTGGAAAGAAGAAAAGACAGTATTGGATGAGAAGTGCTCTAATGACAGACCTGGAGTGCGGTTTTAATTAAAATAGTACAGAGGATTTGTGATAAATGATCTCCTAATTCCTACCTACGAAAAATTTTTCGAGACTCATCACAAAATCTGTGGGGCGTCGTGCGCCACTGGGGCCCGGCATGAGGTGCACAGAATAAGGGGACAGAACAGGAATTCCAGAAAGGGCCCTGTGTAGGCAACAGCTTCGCATACAAAGAGATGATGTTTCTGTGTGATAGGAAAAGGATGGATCATTCAGTAATGGACATTGGCGTGTCTAGAGAAAATTACCATGTGCCTCATGTTAGAACACAGGAAAAGAAATTCCAGATAAATTTAAGACTTGAATGTAGGAAAAAATGTCAGCGAGGCGGAAAGCCATTGTGTGCATTTCTGAAGTTTAAAATGAAGACTGGTTTCTGTACTGCTGAAGAACTCTACAGAAAGGACATAAAAGAGACATGCTAGAAAAACCTGGACAGATGACAGGATTAGACAGGTCACCTGAAGAATGCCATGTAGCTAGTAAATGTGGGAAATATTCCACATAGAATATAATAGTTAGGGGATACAAATTCAATTTTGATTACTTCCTGTCAGTAAGACTTGGGACAGAAGGTTTCTGTGCTGATGGAGATGATGCACAAGGCTCAGACATTAGTGCGGAAGTGTGGGCTTGCATGGCTGTGAGAAAGTGACCGGTGTCAGCCCTCGGAAACACACCGTTGACCCGGGTCCCACCTTGCGGGCCTGGTTGCCTGGGAATAAAATGCCATATGGGAGCATTGCAAACTGCTGGAAGCAGCAGACGCGCACCGTGAAGAGCAGCCGTTGACTGATTCGGTGCAGACACACCTGGAACAGTGCGGCCGTCAAAAGGCTGAGTTTAGAGCTTTTCCGTTAACTTCTTTGAGTAACTAAGAAAATGAGGAGACCAATGTTCAGTGAGTCCAGTTTGCAAAGCAAGACTGAAAGAAGGAACAGCTGGGGCGGGCAGCAAGCAGGAGGGCCCGGCCCTCTGTGCGGCAGAAGGCTCGTGATGCCGGCGGGGTGGGTGTCTTGGTGGGTGAAGTGTGGTACGCACGTCTGAGGAGGGGAGAACCTCCACTCCTAAGTCACGCAGAGTGGTAAACCAGCCTCCCCGCAACAAAATCGTAACCAAAAATGAATGGCAACCCCCTGAAAACACAACGAGGCGGCATGTGCCCCACAGCCCATGTCCGCGTCTTGCAGGAAGAGCCTCAGTTTCCAGGGTGCCAGGTGACTTCCTGGTGGCTCCGAAGGCTGCCAAGGGCTGTTACCAGAGGGCTAGTGTGGGTGTGGCAGTACGGAGGTGCCTGCACTGACGCGCCTTCCTGCTCTTCGATTCTCTCCATGTCTCTCCCTCCTCAGGACTTAATGAAAGCACTCCGCAAGGAAGCAGAATTGAAACAGATACAGACTCTGCTACACGGAACTCATACTCGACTCAAATACTCGCAGAGTGAGCTAGAGATGATTAAAAAGAAGCACCTCGCTGCTTTTTACCAGGTAATACAGACTTACAGAATGGCAGGAATTAGTGTATTTCGTGCTATTTAATATTTGGACACTTTATCCCGTGATTGAGATGATATCATACAGTCCGGTGACCTTTTTGTGTGGCTATTGGTCTGTGGTCCAGTGGTGCCTGGCCGTACCTGAGCTCGTGAATTTCCTTTTATTCTAAAAAGTACTTTCATTTGCACTCCCCAGTAGAAAGCTAGAGCACTGCTGTTAAAAGAAATCTTTCTCTCTGCAATTAGGAGCAGTCTCAGCTGCAGAGCGAACTGCTGAATGTCGAGTCACAGTGCACTATGCTGAGCGCAGCAGTCAAAGAGCGGCAGCAGAGAATCGAAGAGTTGCAAGAGAAGATCGACCAGGTCCTGGCTGTTGCTCACCTTACGGCGGCTCGCGCGTGGGTGTGGGGCTGGCTGAGTGCAGCCGCAGAGTGCGACCAATGCCAGCTTCCCTGGCCAGACAGGGTTCGCTTCCAGGCTTCTTAGAGACCCGGTGCCGTCTCGAGACGGTGCCAGTGGACGCTCACTCTCCCGTCCTCCACCTCCCCCTGCCCCTTGTAAAAACTGCGGCCTCCTTTTCTTTCTCCCACTGCCCCTAACACCAGGAAAGAAGGAACTGACATTCAGGTTACCCCTCACTTGGTGATCGGCGCCATCCCTCAGCTCCCAAGCAGCACTTCCCGCGGCTGGGAGGTTGGCGCGAGTCATCGCTGGCTGGGTGGCGAGAGGCGCTTGGTTCTGTCCATCCCACGTAAGCTGGTGCCGGCCTCAGAGGGCCCCGCGCTCGGGAACCTCCTCGCTCCACTTCCAGCTCGGCCCTCCGGCGCACGGGTTGAAGCCGCTGCGCCTCTTCTAGAAACGGGCCCCGGGCTGCTCGCTGACGCTTGTGTGCAGCTAAGGCGGGTCACGGTGACCGGCCCTGAGCGTTCCGTCCCTTGGCTGGGGCAGGACGAGCCACGCCAAGTGTGTCCGCAGTGCCCGGCAGCCGGGCTGCGCAGTCCGGGTGCACTTGAGCGGGCCGCCCTTCAGTGGGCGTCAGACCACATCACCACTAATTTGTGCTCAACTAAAGTTGAAAAGTTACTATTTCCTGTTGGTAAAACGCACCTCTCTCACCCTGGTAGTGTATGAAGGCTGAGTTTTGAGACTCTTTTGCTAAACTTGGGTGGTTCCAATTTATCCAAATCATTTTGAGTCTTATTCTAGCCCCATCCCTCTTGGTTTCATACTTGTGCGGAGAGAGTTTTTTTACTTTTGTAGGATATTTTATTTCGGTGTTGCTGATGTAAATGAAGTACATTCAGACTTGTATTGAACACTTCAGCAAACCAAAGTACTTAATAAGGCCAGTGAGAAGTGTTCTTATTTCAGTTTTAGGATAAGAAGTTTGAAAGTACGCATAGTTAATAGAGTTTAGGAAAAGATCATTGGCCCCTCAGTATACAGGGCTTTGGGGGGACAGGGGGGCTTGTTTTTGGCCTAATTCGGAAAATCTTGGTGGGAAAAACTTAGATTTAAGCACTGTCTGTATACTTTTCTAAAATCAGTTACCAAACCAGTGTTTAAATACTTTAAAAGGTTGAAGATGATATTTTCCAACACTTCTGTGAAGAAATTGGCGTGGAAAATATTCGTGAATTTGAGAAAAAACATGTTAAACAACAACAAGAAATTGACCAAAAAAGGTACTTTTGTTAAAGATGTTGATAAGCAACTTATCCATGTAAGTGTAACAAATTCGTGATTTAAAAAATTATGCCGAGGTAATCTCTAGTTTAGTTCAAGAAGCATCTAGTCAACATTTATATTTTTATCAAGGGAGCTTTTAGTCTGTAAATTTTTTAGAGAGAAATCACAAATACAGAAAGTAAGAGACGGACACAGTTACACGGGTCATTAAGAGAAGAATAAGGCAGTCATTGACTTAATTCTCTGTAAATGTTCATATATGTGGGTAAGATTGATAATTTTCAAAAAAATATATTGCCAAAAATCACACAAAGCAAGATGAAAAAATCAGGAGACTGCCAGGCACCATAGGAAAAGAAAGTGACGCCTCCTTCCCGTCCGCTCCCAAATTCACCAGCTCGTGTGGTTCCACAGATGGATCGTCAAACTGTGAAGACGCGGGTGGTCTCAGCCCACATTTATTCTGGTTTCAGTACTTAAACTTTCATAGTGTACGAAAGAAATGCGTCGTTTTATGAAGTGAGCATAGTTGATGCCCAAATCTGGAAACCAGAAACCAGTCAAGTGAAGTCAGGTTACACTCAGAGCCAGCAGAGCAGCGCCAAGCCGCGTATCAGCTGGAGGGCGCTGGCGGCCGAAGCTGACTCAGGCCAGGAAATGCTGGGCCCCCTCGAGGGAGCGAGCGGGCAGAGGCTGCAGCTCTTCAGACCGACTAGCGGTGATGAAGAGGGCAGTGTGCAGGATTCGCCGTCTGTCTGGCTTTAGTGGCTTCAAGTGGGACTTGTTAGGTGCCTGGAGGGTGAGAAGACACGTCTGCCTCGAAGCCGGCTTCACGGGCTAGCGGACACATCCTCGTGAGGCAGAAGTGAGAAGAGGGTCGGTCCGGGAAAGCCCGGTGCGTTTTCCTGGACTCCCACAGCCCAGCGTACGCGGGTCTTGGCGGCCTGAGGCTGGTCGCTTGCAGGCGTGGGGGCACGTGTCTGGCTTGTGACTGAGCTCCCGGCCACCCCAGGGTCTGCGTCCCTGCCACGGCCCTGCTCGCCAGCCTGCCCGGTTCAGAACACTCCGTTTCTAGTAAGCCCTCCCCGCCACTGCTATGCTCCTTGTTGACTTTCAGGCTAGAATTCCGATGGAAGGTTACATTAGAGTTATTTGGGGAGAACAGCTTCAAAATATTAAGTCTTCTAGGAACATGAAGTATGTTCTAGTCATCTATATCGTTCACAAGAATTTTAAAGTGTTCTAAAAATTTTGTGTGTTCCTGCTAAGCTAATCTGTAAATCTGTAGTTCTTGGACTAGAATCTATTTTTGTGTCTTACTGACTTCTACAAGTGTCGACAGTGGCATCAGCTTTTATGGCTGACACCTGATGAGCGAAGTGCTCGCGTTCCTTGTGGCCGCCAGCTGACATGCTGCAGCTGCACACGGCACTTGGGTGCTAGTGCGCCCGGTTGGAGAGGAGTCGCGGTGGATCCCCAGGTTGGGGGCTGCAGGTCCAGCCTGGAAGGATGAACTGCGGAATTACCAGTGTCCACACGGCACTGAAAGTGATGGGACCGGGTGAGATTACACGGGACGGTGGCAGGTGAAGAGGCGGCGAGCCCGGGCAGGCTGCAGGCTGAGAGGATGAGAAGGAACCACTGAAGAGCGGGCTGCAGGGGGCTGGGGCAGAGCTTTGTGGCGGCGACCTGCAGCCAGCGCAGCTGCGTCCCGCAGTGGACTGCGCCCCGGTGGCTGGGAGCCCGGGGCTGTTGTCCCTGCCTGCGTCAGGCCCGGCTCCCCCACTCCCACAGAGGGGAGCCGTAGGCGAGTGCTTCACTCTGGGCCTGCGGGCACGTAGCGGAGCAGATGGCAATAGCAGCTCCTCGAGTCACAGCCTGTGTGCGTGAGCGCGTGTAACAGCGCTCAGCGGCGCCTGGCCGGGAAGCCGCTCGCCAAGGTCACTGCTGCTCCTAGCGTGGTGGTCACTCTTGTTGTCTTCGCAGCGGCTCTAGCAGCACAGCGCTAGCTGGTTAGTGCTGGAACCGCTCCTGGACGGATGCTCCTGCTGGCAGGACACGTGGGGCGGGGCGGGGGACGAGCTGCGGCTCACGGAGACCCGTGGGAGCGTGCCCGAGGGGTGCCTGTCAGATCGATCTCCACGTCTGAAGTTTGCGAATGGGTAGGCGGACTGTCTAGACAGGAAGGCACGCACCAGCCACAGTGGGAAGGGGAGGAACCTCTGGATGATGAAATGCTCAAAACACCGTAGCAGCACATGGAGCCTGGTTCTAGTGAACCAGTTTGTGTTTTAATTAACGAGACTCAGGGAAATGGGCAGTGACAGAGTTGACAGTAAGGAACTTCCCGTCCCCAGCAACCCATAGCTCTGTCTTGGGGCACTTCACTTTCAGAGCTGCAGACTGAAATAGCCCCTGGGGAGCAAGATGTTTGAAATTCGTGTCAAGAGATGTGTGGTGGAGGGAGAGTTAGACGGGACAGAGCAGGGACAGCACGTGCAGGTCACCACCGTACTGCTGGCGAGTTTGAAATTCTCCTTGGTGAGAATGGAAGGGATTCCGGGGACCACTTGTAATGCTCAGCTTTGGTTACTCTAGGTTAGACTTTGAGAAACAGAAAACTCGGCTCAATATTCAGATTGAATACAGTCACAATCAGCTGAAGAAGAAGCGAAATAAGATCAACACATTAAAGGAAACTGTCCAGAGAGGCAGAGCAGACATCGATAACCTCAAGAAGGTAATGAGTGGGCGACTGAGCTCCGGAAATGTCCTGCCAATGAGGGTGGGGGCGGGGCAGGCTGGGGAAATGGCCTGCAGCCCCACTATGGACTCACTGGGCGGGGAGGCCGAGCTGCGCAGGAGTCACAGTGGGTTCTGCCTGGGGCAGTGGTGAACAGAGGAACAAGTTAGAAAAAATTCTAGACCTGAGAGGCCGAGCTGCCTGCGTGGCATCGCAGCGGTTTCCGCGAGAACTTACTACGAGCCGTGGGAGAAGACTGGTCTGCTTTGTGGGGGCGAAGCAGCGGGCAAGGCCAAGCCTCCCGGTGGGGGGGGGGTGGGCACCGGGCCAGAGGGACTGGTCACTCGGGGTAAGAGAAGCAGAGACGGGCCGGTGCCAGGGAACAGAGTTTGAAACGGCCCAGGCGTTTGAGAAAGGAGGAAGTAAAGAAAAGCTGAAGTGTGGAAAACGCTTGCCTGCCAGCTAGGGGTCAGAGCAGAAACTGCGGACAAGAGGGCAGCAGGGCGGAACGAGATCGGGCCAGGCAGCACTTTGGGGTCAGCCGGAACGACCCTGGCTTTACCGACAGAAAGGTGCATGGGGGCGAGTGTCACACAGGTGGTCTCCACGCAGGTCGAGGAAAACTGTCTGCAAGTGGTGGACGAGCTCATGGCCCGGCGGCAGCAGCTCACAGACACGCTTGTGGCCCAGAACGCCGACGCGGAGAGGGTCCACGCACAGATCGAAGAGGAGCGGAAGTTGTTTTTGGCCGTCGACAGGTAATTCAGAACTTTGATCTCTGAACGACCGGAGCCAGCGTTGCAGAGTTATGGCTTGAAACCATTTTAAGGAGCCTTGGTATTTGCCCACGTCCGTTTTTGGTTTCGCCTGCACCACACCCCTCAGGGGTCCTGGTCTCCTCTGGGATAACGAAGAGACAGGCTGTCTTTTTGGCAGGTGAAAACGCAGATGGCCCCCCCGGCGTAAATGCCGCTCGACACGGCCTTGTCCTGCAGCGCAGTGTGCTTTCCTCTTGACGTAGCTCCCGCTGAGGAAGCTGTGCCTGCTTCTCACGTCTCTGCGTGGATGTGACACCTTTCCGTGGCTCTGCATTCACAGGGAGGTGGGAAAACGGCAGAAAGAAGTTGTGATCGTGCAGAGTGCTCTGGAGCAGAAACGTCTAGAAAAGCATAACATACTGCTTGACTGCAAAGTGCAGGACATTGAAATCCTCCTTTTGTTGGGGTCCTTGGATGACATCACCGAGGTCAAGGTACTCCTCCATTCAGTCATCAATCTGTGTGTGGTGGGGAACTTCATGGGACGCCCTGGACCACTAGTGAGGTCTCGGTTCCACAAATTCTGCCCCTGTGGGGCAGAAGAAAACTTGGGGGCAGGGGAGATAACCTCCTCAAGGGCAGAAGGACACTGATGATCATCCCTGAGGACTGAGTCATGGCCTCGTAGCTCCACAGAGCTTCTGGGCCCTTTGTCGGATGCCCGGGAGACGCGTGAGAACGGCGCTGCTGTGGAGGGTTACGGGGGGGTGGGTGCTCCCTGGTGGGCCGCACTGGGTGAGGGCTGCTGGCATGAGCTCTGCACGCCGCGCCTTCGCGGGCGCTGTGTGGAAAGGTTGTGCCTGCACCAGCTCTGAGGCACCCGGTGGTTCTCAGCGAAGGCCCTCCCTGTGATGGTGCCTCAGCGCGTCTTCTCGCTAGCCCCTTCCCACATGCCGCCCCCCAGACACCCTTTCAGCTCCTCCAGGTTTTCACTCTCAAAGGAGGGAGCCTTCAGGCCTTCGGACTCTTCACAGTGAAGCAGCTATAAACAACTTTTCTCTTACGTATCTGACCGTCTCATAACATTCTGAACTGACTTCACAGCCAAAAGGTCTTTGTCTTTTTTTCTCTATCTTAGCGGCAATCACAGCACAGACAGGGAGTAAGGAAAGGAGAAGACCCTCTCCTGGCCACAGTGGCAGATTCAGCTCAGGAGACAGGGAGGGACAGTGCCGGAGCGGAGCCTCGGTCCGGTCCGGACTCGCGGCCCTGGAGCACTTTCTGGCGCAGTGCGCTGGGCTTCGTCCTCTTGCTGGCTGTCCCCCAGGGTGACCGAGGGGAAAGGGTGCTCTCCTGTGCCCTCTGGTGGAAAATTCCTGGAAGAACTCGGACTGAGTCATGCGGCCCGGGTCCACTAGAGGGCACAGACGGAAGGATCCGTCAGCCCGAGTTGCAGGAGCAGAGCCACAGTCTGCCCGAGGAAAGCAGGTCTGTGGGAGTGGTCGTGTGCTCAGGCCTGCCTGGAGTGGAGTAGGTGGACGCTGTTGTCCAGTGTCCACGCGGCTGCACTGGGCATGGGTCCTCCCCTTGGCGAACCTGCAGGCTGTTCTCCACCATATGCACCGCAGAGCAAAGTTGATTCATTATTTGACAGCTTGAGTGACTTTCATGACCGTGGCGGAGTATTTCCAAGCAGGAATAAGACATTTACACTGGATTAAAACTGAGTGGCTGTCAGGTGGGAGGGCGCGGTCCTGTTCCACTTTGCCGCTCACGCTCGTTACAGCTGATGCTTCTTGAGTGAAGTGCGCGGGGTCGTGAAGAAAGGCCCAGGCCACGTTGTGCTGGCAAGAGGAGGGCTGGGGAATACGATCCTCCTCCTCCGGCTGAACACGTGCTCTTTCTGGTCTGGAGGGGGCGTGAGGGTTGGGGTGCGGCCACAGAGCCAGATTCTCCTGCTCCAGTAACTTTCAACAAGAAAATGGTGGAGGGCCCGAGGGGCGCGTTCCCTGGCTGCAGTCTGATAGCAGCCAGTAATGGGGGTGCTAGCGAGGTCGTTCTGGGAGCCCCGAGCAGCAGCAGCAGGAAGAAATGGCCTCTCCAGAGGGCCGAGCAAAGGTGCCTGGGTGCAGGCAGTTGCCCTGGGACAGCTGCAGCCTGTGGGTCCACGGGGCGGGGCCGCCGGTTCTGTAACCGGGAAGGGCTGCTGTTTTCCAGCTGGGAGCTGAAGCCGAAAGCACCCAAGCAACAGCTGATATTTATGAAAAAGAAGAACCTATCGAAGTGGACTACAGCGCGCTCAGAGAGGATCTGAAGGTACTGAGAGGTCTCTGGGAGGAGTCAGGGTACTGCTGAATACTGCACCGCAGAATAGCTAGTGGGCAATAAAGTTGAAAAACAAAAGTGGGTTTTCTAATATTTCTTAGAACTAGTGCAAAAAGGGGCGACACCCAGCAGGTAGGTGATCAGGGTTTGCCTCCTGGGGGAGTAAACGCTGCAGGAGCCGGGTTTCAGCCAGAGTAAGAAACACGGGGGCACCTGTGTGCCAGGAGACCAGCGCTACCAGCAGAGGCCGCCGGCGCCTGCATCAGCCTGAGGGCGAGGCGGGGCCGCACCCCGGGGGCCACGGCGGGACTGACGGCACCTGCCGTGTCGGCCACCCTAGGCGCTGGAGTCCGATGAGGACGTGGAGGACAGGCTGCAGCTCCTGCGGCGGCAGGTGGCGTCCCGGGAAGAGGTCCTGCTGAAGACGGCAGCCCCGAACCTGAGGGCCCTGGGGAACCTGCGCGCTGTCAGAGACAAGTTCCAGGAGTCCGCAGATGGTAAAGCAGTGCTGCTCCCCCTCCCCCGCCGACACCCCAGCTTCTGCCTCTGTTACTGTCACGTAGATTTTCCTGTGGACTCTGCCTCCTCCTCTGCACTGTCACGGTGAATCGCTGCCCCTTTCTGAAAGTGTCTTTCATTTAAAGCCAGCTGTCCTGGCTCCCTCAGACAGGCTTTGTGTCAGCACAGTAAGCGCCCGGCGCCCGTAGACTGTGACGGCGTAACGGTCACACTGCCGGGACAGGCGCGTCGGCTCAGAGCCGAGCGCTCGGCAGCGAGTGGCGGCTGGCAGGGTGCGCGGGACGGCCGCGCTCTTAGAGTTTAAAACTGTTATGCTTGACGGTGAGTAAGAGAAGCCCTTAGTGGTTTCCAAAGTAAAGAACATTGATTCTCTCTTAGCTTTTGAGGCCAGCAGAAAGGAAGCCAGAATGTGTAGGCAAGAGTTTGAGCAGGTGAAGAAAAGGAGATGCGATCTTTTCAGCCAGTGCTTTGAGCACGTCTCGGTCGCAATCGACCACATCTACAAGCAGCTCTGCAGGAGCAGCAGTGCCCAGGTACGTGCTCTGCACCCCGGCGCCGACGGGACTGTGTCTCGGGTGGCTTCTTCGCGGGAAATGAACGCCGCCACAGGCACGAGGGGCCAGGCGCAGGCCCATTCGGTCTGCGAAGACGGTCACCTGCCCCGCCCACCGCTGGCGGCCTGGACTGCTCCGACCCCCGCCTGCTGTGTCTCCACAGTGCATTGGGTCACTGGGTCTCCACGTTCTTGTCGAGCTCGATGATTCTGTTGTCTGCTACTAACTGGACTCTATAAGGCTTCTGATGCTCTCTCATAAAGGCAGGGTGGCGCAGGGGCTGGGTGTACTCGCTGGGGTGGGGTGGGGGACATGACCAGAGCAGCAGGAGGGAGAACTCAGGCCTGGGCTCAGCCCCAGATGTGTGCCCTGTGAGGACAGGCTGTGGCCGGAAGGTGGGAGCAGACCTCACCCCTCTGCTCTGCCGCACTCGTGTGCTCTTTTCCAACTGAGAGGTGATCTTGAATCAGATACTTAGAATTTCACCTGAAAATAGCCTTTTCAGTGAAGTAAAACTGGCACCCGTCCACTCCTGTGGCAGGAGTCGGCACCTGCCCCTGGGGGTGCTCGCTGACTGCACCTGCTCTGTAAGAGCGGCACGTGCTGCCAGAGGGCAGGCTGTGGGGCAGGCCCGGCCCGGCCCTGTGTGTGCGAGGACGTTTTTCCTCTGCTTCACAGAGCCCTGTCTGCTTACCACGTGGCGCTAAAGTGTTTGCAGGCCTCGGTCTTTTCCGTCAGAACTGAGGGGAACTACGAATAGGGCATTGTGCCGCTAGTGCTGCCACCCCATGTGAGGTTTACTGGTTGCTTGTCTGCTCTTGCTAAGTGCGTAACGTGTGTCGCAGGCATTCCTGAGCCCAGAGAACCCGGAAGAGCCTTACTTGGAGGGTATCAGCTACAACTGTGTGGCCCCAGGCAAGCGGTTCATGCCGATGGACAACTTGTCAGGGGGAGAGAAGTGCGTGGCGGCTCTGGCGCTCCTGTTCGCCGTGCACAGGTAAGGGCGCGGTGAGCCAGGCGTGCTCCGCGCCAAGCTGCATGCCCACAGGGGGTCCTGTGGCCTGTTCGCTGCTGTCCAGTTGGCATAGGTGATACAAGACGGTCGTCTTCGGCCAGACAGCTGAGGTTATGCTTTAGACATAATGATTTGGACCGTAACTCAGACAGTGCGATCTCCGACGTGTTTTTCTCAACTTACGTTACCAGTAGCTACTAATTACACCATGTTTAGCGCAAAGAAAGGAGACTATTTGGAATGGCCAGATGTGACATCACAGATGCCAAAAACCTAGTTGCAAAGAACCGAAAAACAAACCAAAAATGCTCCACTTGTGCGTATTTTCCTAGTCCATGTTTTCTTTTCTTTTTTTTTTTTTTTTAAATATAGTTTTGTTTTTTTTTTTTTTTTTTTTAAAGATTTTTTATTTATTCATACAGAACTGGGGTACAGGCCAGAGGCTCAGGGGCGGTGAGAGGCTTCACCAGAGACAGAGTGGGGAGCAGAACAGGCAGATCGACGAAGTACACTGCTGAGGGGAGCAGCGGGCGGGTCAGGAGAGGTCTGCCGCGCCATGTGGTCTCCTCCAGGGCAGGCGGCAGGCGGGAATCGAACTCATGCGGAAGTGGCTTCAGATTCTCAGTGCTGTGCTTTAACCCGCTGCGCCACCAGGGAGGGCCTTCTTTTTTTTTTTAAGATTTACTTGTACATACAAGAGCTGGGGTACAGGCCAGCACTGCAGGGGTGGTGAGAGGATTCATCGGAGACAGAGTGGGGAGCAGCAGGGAGAAGGGAGAGGTCTGCTGCGCCCTGGGGGTCCCTCCCTGGCCGGAGCTAACTTGGGCCTTTGTGGTGGACCATTCCGTGGTAGTGCCGAGACTTACCCCAGGCTACCAGGGAGGGCCTAGACCCACATGCTGACAGTTTTTTAAAGATTTATTTGTGCGTACAGAACTGGGGTGCAGGCCAGAGGCTCAGGGGCGGTGAGAGGCTTCACCAGAGACAGAGCGGGGAGCAGAACAGGCAGATCGACGAAGTCCACTGCCGAGGGGAGCAGCGGGCGGTCAGGGGAGGTCTGCCGCGCCCTGTGGTCACCTCCGGGCAGGCGGGGATCGAACTCATGCGGAAGTGGCTGTGGCTTCTCAGTGCTGTGCTCTAATCCGCTGTGCCACCAGGGAGGGCCCATGCTAATAGTTTTTCTGGAAACAGAAGCTTGACCCCACTGCCACTGATCAGAGTGGCAGTGTCTGTAAAATGAGGCAAGGGGGAAAGGCTAACCAAGGGAAGACCGGTGACAGCTTTCAGCGTTCAGAGCACCAAGGGAACAGCTCAGGCAGCCATGACGCTGACCCGAGCTCCGAAGGCCAGCCTCGGCATTTATGTCTGCCTCATGCTGGTCTCCTGAACGGAAAGGACCAGGCCACTCCCAGGAAGGGGAGGAAGGATCGTTCGCATGAAGCAGCAGGCAGGGGCCTGCAGAGTGGCCGAGCTGGGCGACACTCGACAGGCGTCCCCACCGCTTACGGAGCAGCTGTTCACCAAGTGCGTCTGTGCCAAAGTCGTGGCGCAGGAAGGGACTCCCCCGCTCAGACAGCACAGCACACTCGTGAACTAGTTCTCCAGACTAGGTGAAAGCACTGCAGAGGAGGCCTTAGTGTGGGGCATGGCGCCGGCAGCAAGGGAGGCTGCAGGCGGGGGAAGAAGGCCTCTCTGAGGAGTGAGACTTGGAGTTAAGCGTCCATTCGTGCGGCTAGCGCAGGGGAGAGCGTGCTGGGCCTCAGGAAAGGCAAGTGCCCGGAGCCGGGGCCTGAGGACAGCAGTGCAGCACGGGTGGGAGGCGCGTGCACCAGGCCAGTGGCAGACGGGCCAGGGTGAGCGGAAGGTTGGGGTGGCGAGGCCTGTGTGAGGACGGCGTCAGGGACCACTTAGTTGGCTAGAGTGAGGAGAGCTGCTGTTGAGGGTGTGGAGACCACACGGGACGGGGCGGTGATGAGAGAGGTTTGGGAGGGGTTGAGCTGTCGCTAGACAGCCACGTGGAACTGAGTGAGCTGTTGGGGAGGTGAGGTGGGAGCGCGCGCTGTCAGCGATGGTGGGAGCCGTCAGGACGTGGAGGCCGCAGCCTTGACAGCAGAGGGCCCCCAGGGCGCCACGGGTTAGAGACGAGAGCAAGGAGCCCGGGATGGGGCGGGCGCTCGGCACTGTGGCCGGCGTCAGAGGGGCAGGCGGGAGGACGGGATACAGACCTGGGGTGGGCGTGGGGGCAGCGGGGAAGAGGGCGGCGGTGCCCAGACGCGCCCACAGGGCGCTGCGTGGTGGGCCGTGCTCTCCTGAGCGTTGCGACTCACCAGCTTGCCGATTTCCCCTAGTTTTCGGCCTGCTCCGTTCTTCGTGTTAGATGAAGTAGACGCGGCCCTGGACAACACCAACATCGGCAAAGTAAGCTGCTTGGAATGCTGGGTGGGAGGTCCGCGTCGAGGCATTTTGTGGCCAGGAATTCTGTCCTCGGCGATTCAAAACCAGAATGAGTTAAGTATCTAAAAGCAGGGCTCAGCATCATTTTCGTGTAAGGTCAGGGAGCCCTCAAGTTGTTGGGGCGTCTACACAGGTGGCTCAGGGAGGCTGCCGGGCTGGGTGCAGCACGGTCGCTGGGCAGCTTGCTCCCCGCGCAGGCCCTGGGCACTAGAGGCCCAGCCAGTCGGCCTGGTGGCAGACAGGGCTGAGAGACTGGAAGTTGTACACGTCACGTCTCCAGAGAAAGCTCCAAAGGAATTAAAGGTCAGAACTCTGCTCCCCGCCCACTTCCCTCAGCCGGTTTGTCCTGTCACGACGGCACCGTGCCTGGTCCTTGCTCAGGCCGTGAGACGGGGAGAAAGGAGGCGGCAGTTTAATGCTCAGGGCTGAAGCTGGCCTGGAGGACCGGTGCCCAGATGCACAGGCCACCTGAGACAAGTCTCAAGCACGCAGCCTCACCGGGCATTTTAACAGGTTAGCCGTGCCGCGTCAGCACGGGCAGTGCCAGCCCTGCGGGAGGCAGCGTCAGTCCGCAGGGGCCCAGCGTCAGGGCCCTGCTGCTGAGCGGATGAGCGAGACCTGGGCGCATGGGCACGTCTGCCCCAGCAGAGTCCAGCGTGGCGTTGACCCCCTGTGCCTGGAGGCTGCGGCCTTGCCACAGGCTGGCCTCCGCGTCCCTTCTGACCTGACTGCGCTTTGCTCATGTCCATCTGCATGAAAATGGCACAGTGGCCCTGCCGCAGTGTTGAGAGAACAGTCAAAATCCGGCGCCCTGAGTCTTGAAGAGCACGGGCAAGCGCTGCCCCAGCAGGACTTCCGGGCGCCGAGGCCGGAAGCAAGCCTTGGTGGGCTCCTCCAAAGCCAGCTGGTCTGCACGGCCGCCCGGGTGCCAGGGCCCGTCCGGCTGGGAGGCCCTCCCGGGCCCGCAGGCGCCATCCCGCCTCTCACACCCACGTCCCATGTTGGGGGCGGCCGCCGCTGTGGTCGGCCGCTTCTTGGCAACACTCGCTGTCCCTCGCCCTGGCCGCCCAGAGGCTGGCGTCGGTGGCATCTGCAGGTTGGGTCTCGCGTGAGACCCGTCTCGGCGCCAGCCCACGCCCCGGCTCCTGCTCGCTCCCGTTTCTCCTTGGGCTCATGTCCCTGGCACGTCACTGCTGGCTGGAGACCGGAGTGGCGCGGCCTTTGCAGCTGCCAGGTGACTGGGGCCAGGGGCCCTGCAGGCGCGTCTCGTGTCCCCCAGTTTCAGTGTCTCCCGCTCCGAGACGCCGACCTTGTGTCGCAGGCCGCCACCACCTGACTGGACTTGAGGTTCCCTCCTGTCGTCAGCTGTTCAGCCGCAGGCTGGGCGCCTAGTGTCTCGGGTGCAGTCGGGACCACACAGACAGAGAGCACGCTGGGGGCCAGGGTCTGTGGGGGGTTGAGTCTGAGCTCCCCCATTCGCCAGCTTCCCAGCCAGCTTTGCTCCCAGGACTCGGTCCGCTCTGTTCCCCCCATTCCCTGGGGCTGCGCGCTCCGAAGCGCCGCCGAGCCGCCTGTGACTGAGCCCTGGTCACAACTGCCGCTGCACACACACTGCCACCTCGACCTTCGGGCTCTTTTTAGCAGGTTGGAAGTCGGAAACCGGGAACATAGTCCCTGTTCACCCTCAAAAAATAAGAGGGTGGCCTCCGCTTCACGTTAGCAAGGCTGAGTGCAACAAATTAGAGCTCCATTCTTACAAATCAGATCATAGATTGACTGTTCTTCACTCAGCCCTTGTTTTAGAATCTGTGAGGCTTCGCTGAGCCCCCAGAAGGGCACGGACCCGTCCACTCACTGCACTGGGCAGGCTGACAGCGGGCGGGCTCCGGCCCTCGTGGCCTTTCCTAGCAGGCCAAGCGCGCTCTCCTGCCCCCTCAGGTAGCAAGCTACATCAAGGAGCAGACCCAGGAGCAGTTTCAGATGATCATCATTTCCCTAAAGGAAGAGTTCTACTGCAGAGCCGACGCCCTGATCGGCGTCTACCCGGAGGTAAGGCCCGTGCGGTCTCCACCCGCACAGCGCGGTCTCCAAGTGGCGGCCGCCCCCTCTGGCTGCGGCCTGCGCGAGTGCAGCTAAGGTGGCTGTATTTATGCATGGGAAAACAGGTACGGGCCAGCGGTGGGGGGCGGGGGCTGAGAGGACTCCCCAGAGGCAGAGTGGGGAGCAGAACAAGTGAATCTACTGAAACCCACTGCTGAGGGGGCGGCGGGGAGACAGGCGAGGGCTGCTGCGCCCCGGGGCTCACGCCCTCTCCGCTGTGCCCTCGAGCCAGGAGGGAAGGCCCCAAAGTGACTTTCAGGAGACTCCGGTCAGTCCTGCCTTCCTGCAGTGTGCAGAGGGAAGTTTTGTCCGAACAACAGTAGCACGCACCAGCTGACAGGCGGGCCGCGAACTGTTCCCCCTCTTTCAGCACGACGCCTGCATGTTCAGCCGGGTCCTGACCCTGGATCTCTCCCAGTACCCAGACCCCGAGGGCCGCGAGCGCAGCAAGAGACAGCGAGAGTGAGTCACGGCCCCTGCAACGGCCGCGGGCTCAGGCGCGTCGCATCACATCATGCCCTGGGCCAAGCAGCGGAGGGACAGCGGGAGCCCGCAGGCCCCTGGGAGGCAGCGCTGTTCCCGAGGCTGCTGCTGTGCCCTGCCCTGGGCAGCGAGCGCTTCGCTGTTAGCTTTGAGTAAATTTCAGGGCGGAAAATAAAATTTTGTACCAAACATTTTAACTGTCATCTTAAAAGCAATCAGGAGAGTGCTGAGTCTGCAGCCCCTCGGGCGCCCGCTGAGGGGTCCTCCAGGCTGCGGCACCTGGGCTCCGGGGAGGTTACTTGGAAGAGCCGACGTCACTGGTTGAACATCCTAATAAAAAGCCTTCTAGCGGCAGAGGTCAGATTTACAGCTTCACTATAGAAGTTGGGCTCCGCTTCCGTGCGCGCTGGCCGCACGGGCACCTGCCGGAAGGGAGCGGTCCCTGGCGCGCCGCCCGGGCTCGGCACAGCTCGCAGCCTCACTCCATCCCAGCGACAGGCTTCAGGTGGGGCCGCCTCCAGACGGGCCGCGGGCAGGCGCCCGAGGGTGCGACGGGCCGCGCCCCGCCCAGGAGGCCTCCCCCCACGACCTTCTTTTTCAGTACTGGCAGTAGCGGGGACATCACCAGCCTGTCCTCGGTCCCCAGCTTGGCACGGCGCGTGCTCAGCGCGGCGCCCCTGCCAGGGTGCCCTCCCTTCAGAACGTGGCCTCCAGAATGGCGGTGACCCTTCAAGGTACAGCCACTTCTGTGACAGCCCGAGGTGCCACTTTCCCGCCCACACAAAAGCCGGCACGGGCACGGGGCTGGGCCTGCAGGGGACAGTGGCGCCTGCCGCGCCCGCCCAGGCATCCCTGCCCACGGGTGGCATCGTGTGGGTGCAGAAAGCATGGGGGAGCACAAGCACGGGCACGCGTGGGTACCCGGGCGGGGCGAGGCGCAGGGCTGCGCACCTGCGATTGCGGACCCTGGGCCGGGAAGTCAGCGCAGGGACACCTGGGAGCGCGACGCCGACCAGAGAGCAGAGTCGGTCGCGGGGGCTGGGCACCGAGCTGCTGCCTGCACCCCGCCCGCCGCCACCGCCTGCCCGTTCGCACCCCTAACCAGCACCGAAGGCTGAATCACGAGGGCTCCGAGACGGCGTTGCCCGCTGCCCGGGTCGACCGCAAGCCTGCCCGGCCTGACGGCTGCACCACCGGGCACCACGCGCCGAAACCACGGGAAGCTGAAAACAGCCGGCGGCCGCCCAGGACGTGGTAAGGGCGACGCCACACCTCTGCCACGGCAGAGCGGCTGAGGCGGGCGCCAGCGGTGCAGGTGCGGCCTGCTGGGTGCGTCGGGGGGGTGGGGGGCTCTGCGTTCACCCACAGCAGCCAGCAGGCCAGGGGTGGGGAGCCAACCTGGTGCGGCGGCAGGCGCCGGCCAGGTGTGAACCGGGCCGCTCTGCGCAGACCTGGCGCGCTCAGCTGGACTGAGCAACACGCTGGCGGC